TAGTTTAAACTATTTAAAAGCTCGTTTTTTAAAAAAACTAATAGTATATATAACTTTCTTAGTTTTATTAATAAAATCTCTATAATAAAAGTTCTAATAATTCTTAATTTAAATTAAAAATCCCTTAAAAATACCCGGGGTATTATTATAAATAATAAGTACGCTAAGTTTAAGTTTTTATTATCCTCTTTAAAAAGAGGTACTAATAATATTAATAATAGCTTAGAAGGTATTAACTTCTCCCTAAAAAACCTAAATATTAATACTTACTTTTTATTTTTTAAATTAAATATTTTTATTTTTTAAAACCTAAATACGCTAAGGGCTATTCCTAAATTACTAAAATATAATTTTAAAGTTCTAAAACTCGTTCATAATTTCGTTATATATAATTTATACCTTAATAATATTTACGTCTCCTTTTTTAACTTTTTCCTAAAATTATTTATAAATTTCCTTTTTAAAAATAACCTCGTTATTAAAATTAACGTTTATAAGGGCTATTTCTATCTCTTTAGCTAAGTTTTAAATAAGCTATTTAAAAAATATAAAAAAGCCTAAAATAAATAATTTAGTTAAAGTATAAAAAAACATCGTTCGTATTATTTAGTTAATTTTTTATAAAATAAACTTATTAAATAAGAGTAATTAAAATATTATAACTAGCTAATTATAATAAATATATTAATAAAAATTAAAGCTATAATAACTAAATAAATAGTATTATAATCGTAAATAGCTTCCCTAAAACTATATTTATAAATTATAAAATAAATAAAGCTTTAGTAATTAATTATAGTTTTATTAAAAAAAGTTTTTAATAAAAATAACTAAAAGCGATTATAAAATCTAATACTAAATTAATTACTAAAAAAGTTATAAAAAGTCTATTTTTAAGCCTAGCTCGAGCTTATTTTATATATAAGTCTCGTTCCTAAACATATCCTTTATAATACTCTATTTTATTTATTAATAATTAAAAATAAATACTAGTAATCGCTTATTTAAAATAATTATAGTAATTACTTTATTACCTAATCACTTTTCTTATCTATATATAACTTATTTTATAGTTCTTCTATTTTATAAAATAACTCTTATATTCCTTAGCTTTATATATATATAGTATATTATAACCGTTATAAGCCTACGGGGCCGGCCCTAGTCTTAGTTATATATATTAAGTCGTAATACTTTAACCCCCCCTTTCCGTAGCCCTATTTTTAATTTTAATAGTAGCTATAACGGCTTTAATATATAACTATTACCTACGTAATAGTAATATATTATAGAATTTTATAAACTTTAAAAAGTAATTAAATATTAGCCTTTTTTATTTTTTTTAAAAAAAAACCTTTATATTATTATTAAAATTCAGAACCTCTATAATTAAAAAAGGCTGCTTTTAACTTTTATAACTAAACTTTATAATTAACTTTTTCAATTAATATTATTACTTAAATATATTACTTAGCTTATTATTAATAAATAGTAACAGTTTATTTATTTTAAATTATATAATAGTTTTTATATTAAAACTATTATCTTAAATTAAGCCTATACTTAAAATATATTATATATATTATATAATTAAATAATATATTATATTATATAATGTCTTTCAAAAACCTAATTTTATTAAAGTTAATATTTTATATTTATAAGGCTAAAAAAACCCCCACTATATATAATTAGAACTAACTTATGCCGGTCATAATGAACCCCTGGCCGCTTAGCGGCCTTACCTTCCATTCTAAAGTATCAACTTCTCCCTTAAACTCGGCGGTCTCTTCAACTAGGTCCCACTCGCCAGTTTCTTCCCTTTTCTTCAAAGAGCGAAAGATAATGGTCTCTCCAGCATCTTCAAAGATGAATTCCCTTCTACACAGCCGCCTCCATTGTTCCGCCAGTGTTCCCTCCCTAGCATTCTCTGCCTCTAGCTCGCGGTTCTTTCTCAACACGGCCAAGAAAGCCTTACTGTCCCAGAGCCCTTCTTTCCGCGGGTACATTTCGAGGATGCGCGTCGCGTTATCCCTAACCAGGGGATCGCGGCACGTCATAGCGACGACGGTAAGCTGCCACGCCAGGCCGAACTCCATCGAGAAGACGTGTGCGGGAGTCTTGAAGTCTTTCTGCTGCTCACGGAGCAGGATCTCGATGACGTCGTTAATCTCTCGACAGTACGGTGTCATGGAAGCGATGGTGGCTTCGTCGGCGTATTTGGGAAAGAAGCTGTATAGAAACATGACGAGGTAGTGCATACGAAGATGCAGGATCTTGAGATACTCTTTACGTGAGATGTTCACGTCGGACAATGTCTTGTTGTAGAGCGGCTCGAAAGCGTGTCGCCACTGCTGGAGATTTGCGACCGATTTTTCGCAGTACGCTAGCAATTCAGGCTGGTTTTGCATCATCTCGAGTAGTTGGTCGATGCCGGCCTCATCATTGATCTCTTCGAGTTTGAGATCATCGATGACAGTCAGTAGGAGGGGACCAAGCTTAGCGATTCGTCGCTGGCAGGTTTGCCACCAATAGTATGCGTCTTCAGCGTTGCTGAATACCTCCGGCATTGCTTTTCTTCCTTCTCCTGGGTCTGTATAGCGTTGTATCTGCATGTTGTACGTCTCAATGGTATGTCCTCTGGCTTTTAGGCCTTTGATGAGTTCGTAGGCTGGTGACCGGCTTGACTTCACATGGCCACTGAGAACGGTGCGACTTTGTACGTCGAGATGGTTATATAGATCCAGAATTTCGGTAATGAGTTGCCTAGGGTCGGGCGCGAGGTTCCAGATGCGATGATCCGAGTCCTCGCTGGTGAGCAACTCCTGCAACAACACGAAACCAAACTTGACATGCTGAAGAGCCGAGTGTCGGTTTCCCCGCAAGGCCTCAAATGCGACAAAGAGTATGGACAAAAGTACGGCCTCTTGAATGCTGGCAGTCTGGAAGTCGGCCTGCCCTTGTAGACGAAGTGCCTGGCAGTAGTAGACAATGGCATTCTGATAATGTGGGCTCTGCAGTAGGTTGGCGATGTTACCAAAATTCCTCGCCACGACATAAGGGGAGCCCTGAGAAGACAGTGCCCTGCTGATGGCCCCGATGCTCATAGCCGCTTGTCGCAGAGCTGAGTTTCGGCGGGTGAGCTGAGGCATCGTAGTTGTCCAGAGGTTGGTCCTAGAGAAGTGAGCGCCGCCGAGTGAGACGCGAACTAGTTCGTTCCAGTCGTTGAAGTAAACGCTTTGCATATCATCAGCAAAATCGAGGGTGTTCACATTGGGTTCCCGGATGCGCAGACGGGGACTCGTCCGGCAACGTAATGGTTCGGGGTTCAAGGGTTCCAGGTCCCTCGGAGCCTTGCCTCTTGTCTTTCTTGGTTTGATGGCATAACCATCACAGACACCGCGGGTCTTGAGGCAATTCATGCAATGAGGCTTGCCCTCGTCACACTTAATGTGCCTTTTTCTAGAGGACTAATCAGCACACAAATACTGGCGGTTGGATTTTGAAGTCTAACTTGACTTACTTGCCTGTACGGAGTAAGCGGTGTCCATTTACCGATTCAGTGACCTCATATCTGGGTGAAGACTCACAGGTGATACACCCTGTCCTCACTTTAGGTGTGCTGGTGCGCGTATGGCGAGGACGGTGGGCCATGGAGGATCTGCCATTTTCGCTTTCCAGAGATCCCGCTTGGCTGGGAGGAGCCCCTGGCGGCGACAAGGAGTTTGATGCCGACGCTGTATCTGCAAGGAGAGTGAGATCCATTCTCCGATTGTGGTGTGTGATTGTCTGAGGGTAACTCGTATGAGAGATGGGAGAGTCAGAGGCCTTCGGCCGGCCGATAGGCTCCGTTAACCGTAGGTTCGGGGTCGGGCTCGACCCATGCAGCTGCACGACGCCGACGAGAGGGGACTTGGCAAGGGGTCCGGAAAAGTGCAGTCAGAAGGGTCCCGTTTTGGCCGTCCTGCAGCTTTACCAGCTTTCGTCTGTAGTTGGAAAACAGAGCACTGGGGGTCCAGTCACGGTCTACCTGTACTGTAGTAGACTATCCGTCTCGCTGGATTCTATTATGAACGAGGTATTGGGGTGTTTTCGATAGGATAAGGCGTGACGTGACGTCTTGAGTACACTGAGGCTGGGCTGCAGCAACGTTTGTCATACAAGATGAACTCGTCAGCCCTCCTTGATCAGAGGTTACACTAAGGCTCATTTGAACAATGATCACGGGGCGGAAATTTAATCCTGGATTGTGCGATCAGACTGTCTTGTTGCATAATCTGAGTTGTGCAGAGCCACTTCTATTATGTAGATCGGGTAGCTGCAAGACTACTCGCAATACCCCTGGCCTGTTGATCAGCACATCTGTCAGCCCGCAACAGTCTTGTCTACTGCAGGCGTGCTGAGCCACATCTCGATCGGGCTTACGCCAGGTCACCCGTTCATTGCCAATGTTAAGGTTAGCGTTGTCAGTGCGGGCAACCCACGTCTGCAGCCGTCGTAAACCCGCCAGAAAACGGGCGTCTTACCCATTCCTATTGCGTCTGCAGAGGTTGGTCTGGATTTTTGTTGGATTTATAAACCCAGTCTCCCACCATTAGTCAACCCTATTGTTTCCTCTCCACGACAGTTTTATTCTCGCAAGACGAGAATATCCTCATCCCGACTTAACGTTGTCACCCTCTGGCCCTAGGTAACAGGGCCTTTACACTCTGCAGCAATGTGCGCCGCATCGTCATCAGCCGCGGCGGCCGCGATCCAGCGGGAGACCACTTGGTTCCAGCCAGCCCAACCTACTGCCGCAATGGGCCCAGGATAACTCAAGTCTTCCCGGCGAGGTCGGTTTAACACACGATCTTCAGCATCAACACCAACAACAGTCACTTCAGTTGTCGGCCGCTGGCCTCCCGGGTACAGAGTTTGGGCTTTTTGGCCCAGACTCTGTCCACATAGATCCTAGCCTTCCGTACTCTGAACCACCGCCTTGGGACACTCTGCCATGGATGTCTGCTACCTATGCGACGCATCCCATCAGTGCTAGTCCCCTCGACAACCCGATTGATCAGTGTAAGAAGACAATATTTTTCTATCTCTGCACCCGATGAGTCAACATCTAGTGTACTGACTACATATATCAGCTTTCCCACTTACCTTCCTCGACACCTCACCCCCCGCCTTTTTCGACACCTTCTCCGACACCTTCCTCCCCGTTCAGCTGGATGCCCTCTTTGAGCCCAGCTCTAGTTCCAATTCCAATTCCAACAGCCCGAACCAGCCTCCGCCCCTGGATATGTCAGTGTATACTGCTGCTTCGGGGGCTGAGTCATCTCACCGGTCCTCGCCGAATGACAATACTCAGGACCCAGAGGTAGCCACTCCATACACCGACAAGATCCTTCGTCGTCAGCGAAACACGATTGCTGCCCGCAAGTACAGACAAAAGAAGGTTGATCGCATCGACGAACTTGAATCAATGCTGAAGGAGATGACTCGGGAGAGGGACGATTTACGAATTCGTCTCGCTCGTCAAGAGGCTGAGACCGAAGCGCTCAAGAGTGTTATGGGCAAGGAAACTAAGTAGTAACGCCTCAGCGCGCTTCAACTTTGTGACTGGGCTTATAGTGGATGAAAGGGCGCGTTGTGCAGGTCGAATATTGTCATGGAATAGCCGATGAATGCAACTCTCGATCAGTCGCACCGTATTCCAATTAAGCTGCTTGAAATGTTGCGCTGTCTATATAACCCTTAAGAACTTGACGAGATGCAACCCAGTTTTTAGGTACGATCGTAGCGACGGCAGTGGACGCATGATTCAGTATGGCTCATTCTATATCTGTTGGTATACACGTAAAGCAGGTCAGACCTTTCGGTCGCGACGAGGTCAATAGTATCGAATTGTCTATTGGGCGTTTGGAAGGGAGGAAGTTTGCGGACAGAGCCCGCGATCCCTCCGTGGGGGTAAGTAGGTGGAAGGGTCCGTCTGCACGGGCCCCAACTGCCCACCTACCCACCTACCTACCTACCTACCCAAATCCACCTTTTCTGCCTTCGTAATCCAACAATATCCATGCACTGAATTGCCAACATCAGCATAGTCACAATCAGGCTTACTTCGCGGCCCTTAGTCGTGATATCATGATGGACAACTACTATTATGTTCGTGCGAGTCTGCAACAAGCAAAGTGTTCTATCACGAATGGCTCAGTACGGCCCCCCATTGTATATACTCACATACCTCCCCCTAGGTAAACAAAACAGCTTCTCTCTATGATTCACGACAATTGAATATATCAGTCGTCACTAACATAGGTAGCTAAGACCGTGTTGTAGGCGCGCCTAGGAGGTTAAGGAGGGGGTTTCGAGGGGAGGGGCGGACCTGTGAAGCGCTCAATTTCGGGATCTCCATCAGCGACTTAGGATAGCGCCAGTCATCCTCTGACGCAAGAATCCCTGCTAGCGCGGATGAATCATCGTGAGCCATGCTTGGCGTCTCATTCGGATCTGACCACTAGTAGTCTAGGATTGTGGCTGAGTACGAGCGGAATGCAGACGGAAACTTTGTCTACCGAGTGTCCGTACTAAGGTCACCAATTGGCGAACGGGACGGCAGAGGACCCCGAGCATTCATGTTATGGCATTTATGGCGTTAAGAGATTTTCTGATGCAGCTTCCACCCCGCTATTGCTGTTTTAGTAAAAAGGCACAAGCTGCACAATTAGCTTAATGCATCCACTTATTCCTGCCGGCAACAAGCTGCTCCGGAGATGTGCATCTCCATATTCTTGTGCCATATTAGGTCGATTTAACTTGGAAGGCATTGGCCGCCATCTTGTCCCACCTGTTCTGGGGCTCTAGCTGTTCGACGTCTTCATCCTGGGTGTCTACCAAAAGTAGGGCCTTTGCAATGTATCGATTCAGCTTTTTATCTCTTAACGTTTCGCCCTTTTGCAAACATGCCATACTATGGCTCTTGACTCGTGGTTTGACTTCCGTTCATATATCGGAAAGCATGGCCAGTTTTCCATCGGTCAGGTTGAAAACTTTCTTTACAACAAAGGGTCCCACGCAATGTTGAGCTAACTAAAACATCATGATATTGTACGCATCGCCCAATGACCTTGTACGAATTCAGGCGACGCTTCGGACCGGGACTTAGGCGTAACTACCTCATGTCTCCAGTACTAGTATCTGATTAGATCCCAGCCGCGCTAGGTAGAGACAAGTGTTTCTCGCTTGAAACTCCATGAATTTGCGATGCTGGCAAATAGAAACTAGGTAGGTAACCTTGAGCTCAGAAGTGATAAATTCCTACAGTCGCAAAAGTCATGATACTTCCCACGTAGCATTGAAGAGTCGTCCACGACCTTGGTATTTTCAGGATGAGCTGTGCTAAAAAGCTTCTCTATATACAAACTTATTGTGAGCGAGATGATGTTAGTACAAAGAACTATATCCGTATATTTTCATCTGGGAAAAAACAAATTACGAAATATTCTTATTCCATTCTTGTAATAGAGCATTAACAACTAAAAGTAACTCAAAGTGATGAAAGAACTAGTTCTCTGTACGCTCTGTCATGGATACTTCAGCATGCCGGTGTCACCGGTGCCGAAGTAAAGTACGTCTTGTAGTAGACGTTGTTGCCAATATGCTTGGCCACACTGGGAGGGGGGTTGAGCGGACCACCCTGCTGGTTGGCATTAGGGAACAGGATGCTAGGGCTGTTTGGAGAGAGAACGCTGGTTGGGCAGCCAAGAACGGTGTTGCCAAAGAAAGGGTCAAGCTTGGAAATAGCCCAAGTAGTCGCGGCAGCCACCTCCTCCGTAGTCCCGGCGACGAAGAGTGGTACCAGTGAATTAATACCCTGGTAAACATCACACAGAAGAGTCGTAGCATTCAGATTTCCTGTGCCGAGCTGCGCAATAGCTGGAGTAACAGGATTGCGGAGGTAGATAAGGAGACCCTCTAGCACGGTCTGAACTGCAGTGTACGGCGTTGCGCGACGGTACCAGTTGGCGGGCCATGTTTCGGGTACGTACTGGAATTCCCCCGTCGCGGAGTCGTACTTAGCCCCGATGATAGAGGAGATGGACTCATAATTGGCAACACCTCCGAGTCCGTAGGTGCCGTTGCTGAAGAACTTGTGTGCCGGATGTTAGTAGCTACTAGAGATCAGAGATAATGGAGCAACTTACGTTAGGGTAGAAGGCAAAAGCGCCAAGAGAGACAATCAAGGGGAAAGGGAAGTAGTAGAGGTAAGGATTGTTTTTCTGAGAGAACATGGACAGTTCTTGGTATTGTGTACCCATGTTGGTCAGATCAAACTGCTTCGTTCCGCTCTTTGCTACGATGTCAACATTCTGCTTGAATAGGCGGGATGAGAGATGGTGAGCATCGCCACATCCGTTGTAGAAGTCTTCTCGGTTAGGTGAGATGTCGGCCTAAGAGAGGAGTTAGACAGATTTCACGAAACATAATTGAACTCATAGTCTCACCTCGACTGTCGAGTGCCTGTTCAAACCGCCAACATTCCCTGGGCCAGATCCCAAGTAGAACGACTCAGTGGCGATATCTCCGTCCGTGAGGACAGCAAAAACACCGAGGATAGTTGACAGGTCAGGACCCATGTTGAACCCGCGAGCAGTGGCTTCAATTACTTGGCCTAGGGTGACGTGGCCATCACGAGGCAGGTAGCCGTGATTCGCAAGCAGATTCAAGCCCGGGCAGGGTCCTCTGCTATCATTGGGGCCAGGTGCGATGAAGTCGTAGCCTGGTTCCGGACGCTTGTTTGCGGGGTTCAATGCTCCTTGTGCCACAGCCCCAAGAAGTCCGGTAATGGTGTTGGTGAGTGAGCCGATGATTCCGCCGAGGATCTGTGGCTCGGGATTGGCTTCAGGTTCTGCGTTGCGCTTGATCAAATTCTCGAGGTCTTCCTTTGTTGCCATAGACGGGAATGCGGCTGCTGAGGCGGCCAGCAAGGCTGGTAATGTGCCTTGATACCTCATTGCAACTAAGCAGTAAGTAAGTATATGCGTTATATGAAGTGAAGAAGAAAAGTAGGCCAATGGAGCAGTCAGAGAATCCCTGAATGATGATGAACGCCTGAGGTGATGAGAAGACGGTGACTTTTATAACCGCTTAGTGTGAATGACATACTCCGTTTGACTAGATTCAACGTAAATCTCTGAATGATGACATAGTTCCAAAACAAACATCCACAACGGTTCGTCGACGCACTGTTCCCAGGGAATATCCAGCAGTGGTAGCGACATGGAAATGGCCACGCGGGAAGATTTTATCCCGAGTGTAGTGTATCGGTCCGCGGGAATGGCGTCGTCAACGGCGCTGAAGAGTAGCCACTAGACACTATAGTACCTATTGAGCTTCCACTTTCCCCGGATGTTTACTCCGCAAGAACATTTCTGGGGATCGGGAGGGCACGACAAAAGGACCTGGCCGTGTACCAAAAACGCTTCCAAACTACCGACATGCTATTCCTATCCGCCGTGCACGCAGCATCCACGCAGTGGCTGCCCAATATCAGCATTCTCCCAGGTAGTCTTAGCTGAAAAGGGAGTAGTGTACAGATCATCGCGCGGGACGAAGCACTTCCGTCGGCAACGCTAATGGCATCGTCCCCTTGTTATGACGTCTAATCTCGCTATGCTATACGCTCAAGTGCCCAATCATCTCTTCGGGGAACTGAGAAGCTCGTCCAGTAGCATAATAAGTGGTTGGAAGCTTGCGGACGCGCTTGATTCGCGCTTGTTTTAATAGTTTAGTATCAAAAGATCGTCATGAACGAGTCGGTGCTAAACCTCGGCACAGTCCGTGGAACGAACGTGGCTCAGATTTGGGTATTCAATTTTGCAGATCCCCAATTCGCTTTTGTGTTAGCTCAAGTTCTTTCCATGCCCTCTTTGACAAATTCGTCACGTTTGATTGGTGGATTGCGCTTACCAGCGTTGATCCTCGGGAACGATGTTGTTGGAGTAACACCAGATCATAATTTTTTCCAATAAACTGTCTCCTCCCTTTGAAAAGTCTCGTTCAACCGGGCTAGCGGTGGTTACCGTTCCCTTCGCTCACACTTCCCTCACCTCCTGCAGCCGGCTTTCCGGGTCTGAGCTGCCGTATAATTATAATTCCTGTTATTGCAGCACCTGCCGCTACTTCTTAGCCAAGGGTGACCCCTCCATGTTTGGGGGATCAGACTTGCAGCCTTTTGCCTTTCGTCTTCTCTCGGTTTGGCTGCATTCTTGCTGGGCTCTCAATTGGTACAAGTAATTATTGAGTCAAGAAATGGAACAGGGGAGAAAAATCAACGAAAGGAAGCTATATTGAGGCGTCAAGGCGTTTTCCAGACGGGCGCAGACAGTAGCGTTAGTGCACAGGATGAGGACACGAGTCCGTGAAGTTAAAAGCCTCTTTGGATCATAGGTATTCAGAAGATGTCAAAATGCTCCATCGGTGGGCCCTGTTCACCTCTCCCTTAGATGTTGCGCGCGCACCTGGGCCATGTCGTGCTATGACGCACATCAACATGGTCAACTAGAGAAACAAGCTCAACTGAATGCACCC